TATATATATATATATATATATATATATATTTTATAACAGTGCCTTTTATATCTGAGTTATTTTTGATGGAATGGCCAATATTTAACTTTATTGCTAATATCTGACGATATTGAGCATCCGTAATTGAAAGGTTAATTTGCTTCTGGTATATTAAATATAAATGTGTTCGGAGCGTCACCACCATCGTACAGACAAGTGTGAGCAAACTTCTGGTGCAGGTAGCCTGTTTGGTCCCTGTGACACTCAGTGTTTCTGATGTTTTAGTTCTTATGATTATAAAATGTTAACACTAAAACATGAATATTTATATGCCCCAGATTATAGCAAAGATGTGTGTCTCTGTTTAACTTTTAATTTTTTTCCCCAAACTCACTTCTCTCTGTGAGAGTCAGTTTCATCATAAATATTTGTAAAATTCAATTCTACATATTTTTTAACAACAATGTGTGGCTGTTTGGATGTGATAAACTTGCTTATATATTTAGAAGCATACTGAGAGGTAACTGTACTGTGATTAATGTAATTATATTCAAATAAAATTAATATAAACATAAATGTAATTCACTCAGGTCTACGTGTTGGGGAAAAAAATTAATATTTTTATTTATTATCTTTGTAAATGCTTAAGCAGTTGAAGCTACAACATCTACTGTTTGCTTATTTTTTGCAACAATTCTTTGATCTTTTTGTTTCAGGATCTCCCGAAACCTTCAGAAAAGAAAATGTTGTTGGTGTTGAATCAAAGTGCCTGGACATCCCAGTCTAATTCATTTGCTTCTGGTATTTTGAGACAAGCTGGAAAGTCTGAGACAGGCAAGACAGGTCTGATCAACCTTGGGAACACCTGTTTCATGAACAGCATCATCCAGACCCTCTTCATGGCCACAGAGTAAATGAATTTGAGTATTTTCACACAAAATAAATGTGTTGCACATTTCCTGCTTTGAAATTCACCAATAAACATGAATTTCTTACTGCAGTTTTAAGAGGCACGTTTTAGCCTTGCATATAAATGCCTCCAACACTCTGATGAAAAAGCTTCAGCTCCTCTTTGCTTTCCTCGCTCACACACAGGTCAGTCTTGTCCTGATTAATAATCTCTGAAACAGAACGCTGAATGACGGCAGTCTGGTTCTTTGTCCTGCAGAGGGCAGCATACGCTCCCAAAACGTTTTTGGAAGCTTCTCGTCCTCCCTGGTTCAACATGGGCTCGCAGCAGGATTGTTCCGAGTATCTCAGATTCCTTTTAGACAGGTACTCTAAATCTTCTATATGACTTCTCATATTTACCTCAAGAGGCTGTAAAGTTCTGAGGTACAACTAGGCCTGTCATGATAAACAATAAATCAATCACATGTTAAATGAAAATTATCAACCTCATTTTCATTTATCACCTTTATCGTTTCTTCGTGTTTCTGTCTTTCTACTGAAGACACTGGATGACAAAAGGCTCAACTCCGGTGCTCTTCACCGACCACTCCCTTTCTCTTTTCTCTTTAAAATCAATTTTAACCATCACTTTTTAGATTGTTAAAAGCAGCTAAGCTGAGAAGCTAAGCTACAAGCTAGACTAACAAGCCAACCTCGAGAAAAAACTTGCGTCCTGTCGAAGCTCCAAAATTCTTGGTTGAAACTTGTGCCTTTGTGTAAAAAGTTGTTTTTCGCTGCAAAACGAAGCTGAGAACTTGTTTACTGTTTGTTTTTTTTTTTATTAAAAGCTTTGTGTGAAAAATGCTATGCTAAAGAGCTCAAACCACACCGAGCGTCCGCCATTTTGAGAACCAAAAAAAGTAAAGAGAGACGGCCCATGTCACGTCAAGGGGCCTCCCTCCCATTTTTCTTAGAGACACACTGCTCGCTCCCTCACTATCCATCCTTCAGTTCAAACAGTCTTATACTGCCATCCAGTGGTCAAAAAAGGTACTCCACACAAAACAAATTAACCACCATTTCTTCTTAAATTTGACAATAATTATTAATTATTGTCAAATTTCAAACAATATTCTCGTTTATCGCAATAATTTCTGAGACAATTAATCGCCCAGCAAAATTTGTTATCGTGACAGGCCTAGGTACAACTAATGTTGTCTCTTAATGCCCAGTTTGCCTCTCTTTTAAGGATGCATGAAGAGGAAAAAACGCTTCAGGTTCTGGAATCTACTAAACCAAAACTTGCTCCTTTGGTTGACGCAAGCAGCAAAGACCCAACATGTCTGACTTCTTCCGAGGAACACAAGGAGTCATGTTTGACTCGAGCAGACTCTACACCTGCTGATGATCAAAGGACTTTAATAGAAAGGATGTTTGGTGGAAAGCTGATCACAGGCATTCGCTGCATGCAGTGCAACTGCATCTCAGAGAAAGAAGAGCCTTTTACAGATTTATCTTTGGCCTTTTGTCCGTCTGCCTCTTCTCAAAACAGTCATAAATCCCAGGGGCCCTCAGAGGAACCCAAAGTTCTCTGTCAGGGATCTGTCAATGGTGGCAGTGAAGCTCCTGAGCCAGACTCAGCCAGCTCTCTGGCTACTAGTATTCAATATGAGCCAGTAACAAATGAGAATCCTCTTTCTGTGCCTGATCTGGTGAACTATTTTCTGGCTCCAGAGATCCTTGATGAAGACAATGCGTACTTCTGTGAGACGTGTGGCTCCCTCCAGAGGGCAGAGAGGACTCTGAAAGTGGTTTCCTCACCTGAATACCTAATCCTCACACTGCTGCGATTCTCCTATGATGCCAAATGTCATATCCGTAGGAAGATTCTAGACAACGTCACCATCCCACCAGCCTTGATACTTCCCGTTCATACCCCTAGTACACCTGCACTGTGGCCTTCCGCCTCCTCCTCCCCTTTGCAAGTAGATTCTCCCGAAAGCAACGAGAATCTGGCCAAGAAACTCAAACCGTCGCAGGGAGAAGAGGAGAGGGCGAGGATCAACGAAGAAGAGAGAAACAGAGCTGGAGGAACGCTGGTTCAATCTGTGCCCTATTTGCTAAGCTCAGTGGTGGTGCATTCTGGGATATCATCAGAGAGCGGACACTACTACTCATATGGTCGAAACATCAACGGAGCAGATGGAGCACAGCATCCTTCCTGTCACTCAGCTGTCGGAGAGGATCTGGCCACATGTAACCTCTGCACACCTGTACAAGGTGACATACAAACCTCCAGTGGTCCTGAGGCGAGAGAGTGGCTGCTTTTCAATGACAGCAGGGTGACGTTCACGTCTTTACAGTCAGCACAGAACATCACCAAACGCTTCCCCAAGGACACAGCTTATGTGCTCATGTACAGGAAACAGGAGCAGAACTTGAACAGGGGGGTGGCAAATGGGATGACGATAAGTACTGAGCCACCTCTTCAAAAAGAACTGCTGGATGCTATTATCAAAGACAACAAGCTGTATTTACAGGTAACCTAAAACACACTTTTCCTTCGTATTGGCATCACTGCAAACACTATGTGCCTTTAAACTGGGGTCTTAAACTTTAAACTTAAACGGGGGGTGAGGTGTTTAAACTTATTTTAATAGAACCATGGTGACCTAGTTTAGTTTTTCAAATTTTTTTGAAAATGCGTCACTCAGAGAAAAAAATAGTTGCAAATAAAAAATGTCTTCAGTGTAAACATCAATATAAATAAGTTTATTGGTTATTTTTGAATCCCCCTGCTGACCATAACCTCAAAATGTGGGTCCTTCCCACATCTGCCTCCACCCTCATTTGCCCCCACACTTGGTTCTTGAGCAAGGCCCTTACCCCCACCACCACCATCATCACCATCATCATCTGCTCCTCAGAGAGCCCTAGATGGCAGCCCCCAGCTCCGAACAGAGGGATGTGGTAGCTCAGCTCACACATATTCATACACAGGGAGACATACAGGTGCTGGTCATAAAATGAGAATATCATGAAAAAGTTGATTTATTTCAGTAATTTCGTTCAAAAAGTAAAACTTGTATATTATATTCATTCATTACACACAGACTGATATATTTCAAATGTTTATTTATTTTAATGTTGAGGATTATAACTGACAACTAATGAAAACCCCAAATTAAGTATTTCAGAAAATTAGAATATTACTTAAGACCAATAAAAAGTAAAGATTTTTAGAAATGTTGGCCAACTGAAAAGTACGAACATGAAAAGTATGAGCATGTTCAGCACTCAATACTTAGTTGGGGCTCCTTTTGCCTGGATTACTGCAGCAATGCATCATAGCATGGAGTCGATCAGTCTGTGGTGCTGCTCAGGTGTTATGAGAGCCCAGGTTGCTCTGATAGTGGCCTTCAGCTCCTCTGAATTGCTGGGTCTGGTGTATCTCATCTTCCTCTTCACAATACTCCATAGATTTTCTATGGGGTTATGGTCAGGCGAGTTTGCTGGCCAATGAAGAACAGGGATACCATGGTCCTTAAACCAGGTACTGGTATCTTTGACACTGTGCAGGTGTCAAGTCCTGTTGGAAAATGAAATCAGAATCTCCATAAAGTTGGTCAGCAGCAGGAAGCATGAAGTGCTCTAAAACTTCCTGGTAGACGGCTGCATTGACCTTGGACCTCTGAAAACACAGTGGACCAATACCAGCAGATGACATGGCACCACAAACCATCACTGACTGTAGAAACTTGACACTGGACCTCAAACAACACGGATTCTGTGCTTCTCCTCTCTTCCTCCAGACTCTGGGACCTTGATTTCCAAGGAAATGCAAAATATACTTTTATCAGAGAACATAACTTTGGACCACTCAGCAGCAGTCCCAGGCGAAACCCTTCTGACGCTGTCTCTTGTTCAAGAGTGGCTTGACACAGAGAATGCGACAGCTGAAATCCATGTCTTGCATACGTCTGTGCGTGGTGGTTCTTGAAGCACTGACTCCAGCTGCAGTCCACTCTTTGTGAATCTCCCCCACATTTTGGAATGAGCTTTGTTTCACCATCCTCTCCAGGGTGTGGTTCTCCCTATTGCATGTACACTTTTTTTCTACCACATCTTTTCCTTCCCTTCTCCTCTATTAATGTGCTTGGACACAGAGCTCTGTGAACAGCCAGCCTCTTTAGCAATGACCTTTTGTGTCTTCCCTCCTTGTGCAAGGTGTCAGTGGTTGTCTTTTGGACATCTGTCAAGTCAGCAGTTTTCCCCATGATTGTGTAGCCTACAGAACTAGACTGAGACCATTTAAAGTCATTTGCAGGTGTTTGGAGTTAATTAACTGATTAGAGTGTGGCACCAGGTGTCTTCAATAATGAACCTTTTCACAATATTCTAATTTTCTGAGATGCTGAATTTGGGGTTTTCATTAGTTGTCAGTTATAATCATCAACATTAAAACAAATAAACATTTGAAATATATCAGTCTGTGTGTAATGAATGAATATAATATACAAGTTTCACTTTTTGAATGGAATTACTGAAATAAATCAACTTTTTCACGATATTCTCATTTTATGACCAGCACCTGTAATGTAAAATAAATAATAAAGGAGCTGAAATAATAGGAAAAAAAACAATAACTTCACTAGCTTGGTTGGCAGCTATTTAAAATAAACGGCAGTCAGCTCCTGTCCTTATGGATCGGTCACATTGTCATGATACCCAATCAGGATTTTTTTTTTTCGACATTGGTACCGATACTAATATCGGATCAGTGCGTCTCTTCTGGTATCTAATTAAGAATTTATTTATTTATTTTTATATCGGTACCAATACCAGTACTAATATCAAATCACTGCATCCTCCTACAAATCATTGTAATACTTGGTTTAGTTACATCCACTCATTATCTTTACCCGCTTCTTACTTTTTGGGTCGTGGAGGTAACCGGTGCCCATGTCTAGCTGTCACTGTGTGGGACAGGACCTGGACAGGTCTCCAGTCCACCTCAGGGACACATAGAGACAAATGAGTCAACCATTCACTCTCTCACTCACACCTAGGATCAATTTAGAGTTACCAGTCAGACTAACATGCATGTTTTTGGTGTGTGGGAGAAAACCGGAGTGCCTGTAGAAAACCACACATGCATGTAGAGAACATGCAGACTCCACACAGAGGAGCCCCGGACTGGGATTTGAACCGGGGCACCTTGCTCACTGAGAGGCAGCAGCTCTACCAACTGCGCCACCGTGCTGCCTCCGGTTTAGTTACATAATGACTTTAATTGCTGGATGTCCAGCACGAGCTGTTGGCTTTCAGTAACTGTGCCCCACTGAGCAGTTTAGTTGAATAGCCCTTGTTTATTTATTTTTATTTAACCTTTATTAATACAGGTAGTCTCGCTGAGTCACAAGGACTCATTTTTAACAGAGCCTGTTGAGATGCAGTTGGTGGGGGTCAAGGGCCTTGTTCAAGGGCCCAGCAAATGAGGGTGTAGACAGGTGTGGGTGTTTCACCTTTTCCACCCACATTTTGATGTTGTCGGTCTGGGGAGTCAAACCGGCAACCTTCCGATGACAGGCCCACCTTCTCTAGCCTCTGCGTCACCACTCCCCCGTATATGTAGCTCCAGCGTAGACTGTACTTCTGTTGAGAGCTAAGAGCACATCAGAATCAGCTTTTGCCGTTGCACCGAAACAACAAAATTACATTTCAGTATAGCCTGTCCGAGTAAAACACAAACAAACAGACATGGGGGGGGGGGTGTCATGATTTTTACACATGGATTCAAATCTGAATGGTTGTGTTTAAAAGTGATCAGGTGTAAATTCTCAATGTGCAACATTCAGCTGACATGCCACAGCCCAGTTATACTAGGATATTGCCTCTAGAGGTAGTTGTAACACATGTGCTGTTAAAAAGACGTCACTATTTCCAAAATGTTTTGCTTTTATAATCATTGGAAAGTTCAGTTTTACAGTTTAACCTTTTATTTCTGTTTACTTCCCTTCACATAAACAGGAGCAGGAGCTCAGTGCTCGTACCCAAGTTCTTCAGGCCTCTTCGTCCTCATGCTCATTCAGGCCCAACGGTTCAGATGACAATAACCCACCTGGAAGCTGTGGCCCATCTGGGGGGGGCGGAGGGGGTGGGGGCTTCAACACCATTAGCAGACTGGTGTTCTGAGAGGAGAAGACAAAAAAAAAAAAGTAGAACCCAGCCGATATATCAGTAGGACTGATATTTTAGGCCGATATAGGCGTTTGGGGACATATCGGTATTGGTGACAACTGTACCATTATGCGTCGATACAAACACTGGGAACAAGTCGTGTCCTTGCTTTTAAAAGGCATAATTGCACCATGTATCCAGCAGACGGCGCATACGGACTACTTTCAAGTCATGCCTACTTTAACTTTCAGTACAGCCGAAGCAGGGAATGGTGTTATGGTATGGAGATGATAATTTTATTGCAACTGATCTGTAAATTAAATTAAATCAACAAAGTCAACAATAATAAATTCTTTTCAATCCTCTAACCCGCTTCTCATTGCTATGTGTCTCTCGAGCTAGCAAGCTAACGTTTAAATTACCTAGCATAGGCTTTTGCCTTGTAAAACTTTAGCCAGAACAATAAATCTAACCTGGAGGTCAAATATATATCATTGTTAGTTCTCTTAGCTTTGTCGTCCTGAATGAAATGCATGGTTTGTCTGAAATCTTTACTTCTCTGCAAAGGAAAAAAAAAAAAACGCTACTGCGGTCAATAATTACCAGTAGGTCTTCACCATACGTGACCGATAGACCAAACAATTAACTGGGAAGGGTGCTTCTTTAATTTATATTTTTGGAACACACTTGATAACTTTGTGGAGGATAGAAAATGCAAGCGCATATTAGGAAGACTGTTTCAAGAAGTGTTAAAACAGGTTGACATTCTTGGGGGGTGGACGAAACTAGAAAAAATTCAGCCATTATATCACTTACTTGGCATTAGCCATTGTCATGGAAAAAGAGATTCTCTAAACCATCAGGTGTGGACTTCTTCATATTTGTTTACAAAGCTTTGGAGAACAACCAGCAGTCACAGAAGATGAACGCATGTACAAGTACAAACTGTGATGTTCTGGCCCGTTCTGACTTCCCAAAGTGAAAAGGTTAGTTTTGTAGAGAACTCATCAGGGGTCCTGTCCCTCCCCTTCGCCTTGTCCTAGACTGTTTCAGAACTGAACCCAGCAGCTCACACACACAGAACCGCTGGAGGTAAACATTTCTCAAGGATTCTTATGGAGGCTAATCACTGCATCTACCATAACATTCAAAAGTCTCCATCATGACAAAAGATGACCTCTGCTGTCTTTTTACTGATAGTCACATCAAGAATGATTATAATGTAGAGAGAAGGATTATGGAACATTCTAATATCAATATGAAGAAAAAAGAGGTAGCATCTACCACTGTGCCACCGTGCTGTCTGTATAGCAATTAACCTGAAAAAACACTGACTTGATAGAAGAACACACACACACAGAGCATTAACCACCTGGATTTGATCCTTGATTTATTAAAAGTTATTTAAAACCTTTAGGGTTTTATCATTTTCCATCTGCTTTTGTCATTTCTAGTCCCACTTTATTTGTAAAGCACTTTACACACCACAGCAGATCATAGTGCTGTACAGAACATTAAAACACACACAACACAAAATACAAAGCACAAGTGAAATACTGTAAAAGGTAATCCAGACAATAAAATTAAAATAAACTAAAATCTACACAAAATGAATCGGGTAAAAATGAATAAAAACCTTTTACAAAGCTTTAAAAGCTAAATAAAATGAGTTTTCGGAAGAGATTTCAAATCAGACAACATAGAGGCACCCTGCGATGGACTGGAGACCTGTTCAGGGTGTCTCCCGCCTCTTGCACAGTGATAGCTGGACATGGGCACCAGTGACCCCTGCGACCCGAGAAGGAAGAAGTGGTAATGGATGGCTGGATGAATAACATACTCGAGGCCTGTCTGAGGTGGATAGGCAGCTTGTTCCACAGTTTAGGAGCTGCTGCCACAGAAGCTCGATCCCCCTGAGCTTGAGTGTGGCTTTAGAGACAATTAGCAGCTAGTTAGCTGATCTGAGTGAGAGAGAGGGTTTTAAGGGATGCAGCAGTTCTAGAGGTAGGGTGGGGTAAGGCCAGTCAAAGATTTCAAAACAAAATAATTTTAAAATGGATCCTAAAATGTACGGGCAACCAGTGGAGTGGGGATAAAATGAGGGAAGTGTGCTCATGTTTACATGTGCCATTTAAAATATGGAACGCCAAAATGATCAGAATTGAATAAATAAACCAGGGGTGCCCAAACTTTTTCCCTGAAAGGGCCAAATTTAAACTCTTATCAAAGGGCTGCAGGCCAAAATGCAAAAACACATGAAATGCAAATACTTATTTAAAGTCCATTTATTTATTACAGTTATTTATCCTTCCATTCTGTATAAAGAACATCACAGAACAGGCTGCGTTGGTGGTGGTGGGGGGAGTCTGGGCGTCCTCCCCCAGAGAATTTTGATTAAAGTAGATGCCATTTCCTGCATTCTGGTGTATTTTACAAAAGTTTATCACAATAGATTAACATGAAACAAAATATATAAACTTTTATTCTTGAAATCTCTGACTGCAAAGCGTTTGTAATGCAACGCCGCTGCAGCTCTGCAGGTAAGAGGCGTTCACTTCAGGACAAATCATGGTTGCTGATTGGTCAGTTGCTGACGTGCCTACTGGATTGATTGACAGGTGGTGTGACTGGTGCAAAAAAATCATAGATTTTATTGGCCCGTTTGAGACTGTCGTCATTTTTTCCATATCCAATATTTTGGTGAATCTAAGGTTTGAGAACTGTTTCCTTACACAATCCTAATGATGGTTTCTTTATTTTCCTGGGGTGCTGAGTTTACATTTAAAGAGGCTCAAATCACCACTGAAACCATTTCATATTTACAGTTTACTTTTAAACACTGTGATTTATAAGTGTGTTCTGTCAAAGGAAAATCTTAATCAGTGGCAAGAAACTGCCAAGGGATGGTAGAAAGTCTGTCAAAATGAAATATAAATATAAAAATATAAATTAAAATTACAAACCGGATTCCAAAAAAGGTGGGACACTAAACAAATTGTGAATAAAATCTGAATACAATGATGTGGAGGTGCCAACATCTAATATTTTATTCAGAATAGAACACAAATCACAGATCAAAAGTTTAAACAGAGAGAATGTATCATTTTAAGGGAAAAATCTGTTGTTTCCAAATTTCATGGCATCAACAAATCCCAAAAAAGTTGGGACAAGTCCATTTTAACTACTGTGTGGCATCCCCCCCTTCTTCTTACAACACTCAACAGACGTCTGGGGACAGAGGAGACCAGTTTCTCAAGTTTAGAAATAGGAATGCTCTCCCATTCATGTCCAATACAGGCCTCTAACTGTTCAATCGTCTTGGGCCTTCTTTGTCGCACCTTCCTCTTTATGATGCGCCACATGTTCTCTATAGGTGAAAGATCTGGACTGCAGGCTGGCCATTTCAGTACCCGGATCCTTCTCCTACGTAGCCATGATGTTGTGATTGCTGCAGAATGTGGTCTGGCATTATCGTGTTGAAAAATGCAGGGTCTTCCCTGAAAGAGATGACGTCTAGATGGGAGCATATGTTGTTCTAGAACCTGAACATAGTTCTCTGCATTAATGGTGCCTTTCCAGACATGCAAGCTGCCCATGCCACAAGCGCTCATGCAACCCCATACCATCAGTGATGCAGGCTTCTGAACGAAGCGTTGATAACAACTTGGGCTATCCTTGTCCTCTCTGGTCCGGATGACATGGCGTCCCAGTGTTCCATAAAGAACTTCAAATCGTAACTCATCTGACCACAGAACAGTCTTCCATTTTGCCACACTCCATTTTAAATGACCCCTGGCCCAGTACAAACATCTGAGCTTGTGGAGCTTGCTTAGAAATGGCTTCGTCTTTGCACTGTAGAGTTTCAGCTGGCAACGGCGGATGGCACGGTGGATTGTGTTCACTGACAATGCTTTCTGGAAGTATTCCTGAGCCCATTCTGTTATTTCCTTGACAGTGGCATTCCTGTTTGAGGTGCAGTGACGTTTAAGGGCCCGGAGATCACGAGCATCCAGTAGAGTTTTACGGCCTTGACCCTTACTCACAACGATTGTTCCAGATTCTCTGAATCTTTTGATGATGTTATCCATGGTTGATGATGATAACTTAAAAGTCTTTGCTATTTTACGCTGGGTAACACCATTCTGGTATTGCTGCACTATCTTTCTGTGCAACAATGGTAGAATTGGCGATCCTCTTACCATCTTGGCTTCTGAGAGACACTGACACTCTGAGAAGCTCTTTTTATACCCAATCATGTTGTCAATTGATCTTATTAGTGTTAATTTGTCTTCCAGCTGTTCGTTATATGGTTAATTTCCTTTTTCCAGCCACTTATTGCCTTGTCCCAACTTTTTTGGGATTTGTTGACACTGTGAAATTTTTAATCAACATATTTTTCCTTTAAAATGTTATATTTACTCAGATTAAACTTTTGATCTGTCATCTATGTTATATTACGAATAAAATATTGACATTTGCCATCTCCACATCATTGCATTCAGTTTTTATTCACAATTTGTTTAGTGTCACAACTTTTTTGGAATCTGGTTTGTATTAAAAAAATACATAAATTATCTACTGTGTAATCCGTGTAGTTAAATCATGGTAATCAGGCCAACTAACAATAAAGCTAATGCGTGGAATCAATGAATGTAAGCACATTGAGTCTTCAAAGGAAATTTTAATATATGAGGACAGCTTGGTGGGCCAACTTTGGCCCGCGGGCCCCACTTTGGGCACCGCTGAACTAAATAAAGCTTTATATCTAAGCTCATTATTATTAAACATTTTCATTTCTATTCCATAATTGTGTTTTCAATGATGGCTTATTTATTTCATATTATTTATTTATTTATTTATTGCATGAACTTCGTTCAGCTCAGGTTACTTTAAAGTAACCTGAGCTGAACGAAGTTCATGCAGCTCTGCAAGTCCAACCCACTGACATTGATTGGCAGCTTAATTCTTTGGCTGAAAAGTGTCATTATGAAATAAATAAGCCATGAAAAGCACAATAATGAAATAAAAGAATAAAAATGAATATTTTAAATAATGAGCTTATGCTTATTTCCTATTGCTTTATTTATTTAATTTTGACCATTTTGGCATTCCATATTAAAAAGCCTCACTGCAAGAGGACTCACTGACCCCCAGATAAAGTGACAGTAATCCAGACGAGTCCTAACAAAGGCATGGATTACTGCCTCAAAGTGTGTTATTGGAATAATGGATCTTATTTTGACTAGCAGTCTCAAATGATAAAAACTTTTACAAACTGACCTGATCTGGCCGTCTTAATTATCTGATCATTTTTGTTGGGATTTCTAC